TCCTGCAAACAGGGGAGCAAAGGAGAACTCTGTTCTTCTAAAACCCCTGAAGGAAGGTCCACGTCCCCATTCCCTCCCCCAGCACCCTGCTAAAGGAGTCTCATTGCTTGGGTAGACGCGTGACTTCTGGGTGTCAGCGCTAGGATCTTGCAGAACATCGATCAGATCCCGGCTCTCCTAGCAACCCCTCCAATGGCTGCCCATCACATCTGGCCAACCCCAGCTCTTCCTGCACAGCTGGTCCTCGCCGCTCCTCCTACCTTGTTTCCTGGTCCCTCCCCACACAGCACACTCCAGCTCCGATCACCTTCCTAGGTTCAAAAGCTCTTTGGTCTCTATGCCAAAGTGTTGGTTTCTTATCTGTTTCCCTCAAAGACCAATAGATGCCCAGGGTACAGTCTGCATTGCTTTCTTCACAAAGGTGCCCCAGCTCCAAAGAACACCATCCTGCTGGGTACACATTTGCTCTGTCAACCAAAACCTACAAGAAAGTCTGAACGGATCCTGTTTCCAACAGAAATACATTGAAGCTCAGCACCTCTCCTGAAAACAAACACGTTGTTTGGAAAGGGAGTGTGTGTACAGGAGCAGTTCCAGACCAGGAGACTGGGACAGGTGGGCACGGAGGGGTACTCATGTAGTCACTGATAGCTGTCCTCAGCCAGCCGGTGCCGCTGACCAGGAAGATCAAAAGTAACACAGCTTAGTGAAGAAAGCAGGTGAAGGGGTGGTGGCCACAACACCCTCGGCCACATTCTCTGACTTGGCACTTGGTGGTCTTGGGACGTTAGGTCTCCCGTCTCATCGAGCACCTACTGTGTGCCCTCCCTTCCTTATTTCCCTTCTCCCCCTTCAGTGATTAGTAAGCCCCCACTAGGTCCCCAGCATTGTCTTAGGAGTTCCGTTCATTGATTCATTCACTTATTCATTCACTTAACAATTGTGGGAAAAATGCTCTGACCTGCGCTGGCATAGCGACAAGGAGTCAGGGCTTGCCCTCAGGAGCTCCCCATCTAAACTGACATTAAGTACATGTTTGCAAATAGTTAAACAAATGCTTCATGGGATTCAGTTGATCACCTTGATCATATACTTAATTTAATGATCACTAACAAAGAATCAAAATGTTGCATATTTTGCCAAAGTTCCTCTAACTTTTGGTCATCTGAGCCTCCCATTTTCCCTTTGATAAATGTACCCAAAGTAAAAAGTGATCAACTACTTTGTTCCCAGAGTTTAAATGTGAGCATCTCTTCATTTCCCCCCTTCATTTCTCCTTCCCCTCTCAAGAAGGCAAGAGCCTGTGCATGTTCAGTATGTCCGTACCCCAAATTTAGACACAGACCATTATCTAATGTGAGCTTGTATGGTTTTAATGATTGACCTGCTAAGATGGAACTTTAGAAATTCTTCTGATCAGAACAAGTGGGCTGCTGTCTCCCCTCTCCTTGAACTGGACTTAATAAGAGGCACTCAAGCAATGAGTTTCAAGCTCATTTTTCAAAGTTATCCAGAGAACAGTGTGTACTGAATTCCTAGTGGCTACAGAAAGTGGCCCTTCCCTGGCACGGGGACAAAGGATCAACTAATCAGGGTCTCCTCCAGATGCACCCCTATCCACCCTGTGATAATGTATAAGAGTTCAAAGGAGAGTGTGGGAAGGTCCTCCTGATGTCATCTCCCTGGTGAACATTCAGCTCTCCCCTGCACAGAGCCCTTTTGAAGTTGGAATTGATTGAAAGAGCACCAGGGTGTGGAGCCAAGGAATGTCCGTGGTGTGGCCTTGTCCTCTACATCTTTGAGCAAAAGTGATACACTTGAGTCCAGTTCCTGTTGGTCTGGCCCGGGCCCTGTGCCTGCAAGTTTGATAGTAACCCATTCACAGCAAAATTGGAAAACAACACGTAGTTTTGTCAAAGGAGGGTTTGCCCAGGGATTCGGGGTCTTGGAGAAAGTACTCTCTTCAAATTGTAGACAGTTCTGCTTGGTGGGATTCAAGGTCCCCAGCTGTGTGTGAGAAGACCGCTCATACCCAACCCCACACACACACCTGTGCATATAATCCATTTCCTTGCACAGTCGTCAAGGAGAAATGACTGTGTATGGGCCATCAGCAATCTCTTAGCAATGCTGAATAAGTCGTGCAGCTGATAGGTGACTGGCCCACTCAGAACCCGATCTCCTGACATTAAAACCTTGGTGGCTGCCTCGTGTCTTGAGGTAGTACAAAGTGTTGTCTACATTGGTATTTTCAGGGGCAGAGAGGGATGAGGAGTTGGGATAGGCCAGCCATCTGAGAGTAATGGGGATGTGACAGAAAGCACCTCTAGCAGCCTCATCCACCTCTCTGCTTTGGGGATAGATGTGCCTCTAACTCCCCCTTGGTCTTGAGTGTCTCCCTGAGAAAGATACAGGTGGTCCATGCTGGTGACACCCCTGTCCCAGCACCATGGAAGCTGTGGGATCTCCCAGCCACACAGTCAGCTCCTTCTCATTCCTTCTCCTCCTGAGTGTTTTGCCTGTGTCTTGTCTTCTTTCTCCTTCTGGCCTCTTGTAGTACTGTGGCCCTACTTCACGGTATCATCAAACAAATTGTCTTTCCATTTGTCCTCTCTTGGCATCACAGCCCACTCCCCAGCACCAAGAGCTGCATCCCTTACAAAATTTGAAGTGATTTATGGATCAGATTTGGCCAGCAAGCCCTTACTGAGCACCTTCTGTGGCCAGTCTGGACTGTGGGGCCATGGTGGTGAAGTGGACCAGAGTCCCCCAGAGTTCAGCCCCGATGAACAGATTTGACTTACTTGTTCTGAGTGTTAAGATGTCTGGGATTAATGGTTGTCAGGGGTCAACACTGAGCATTTTATTCTTCTTTTAAAATAGTGGGTTTTTTTAAAAAAAATGATAGGAGCAAAATATGTGAATATTGAAACTTTAGAAAGTAGAGACAAGCAAAAATAAGAAAATTAAAGCATTTTATTTTCTATCACCATGAGATTACCACCATGAACACCCTTAGTGTGCATAAGTCCAGAACATTCTCTGTGCATATATGTTGATTAGGACATAACAAGATCAGAATATCTTGTTGTTATGTAACCTAATGTTTTCAGGCATCAACACCTGTTTTCTATTTCAATAATTTTTATCTTTTTAATAGCCAGATCATATCTTTCCAGGTGTACTGGAAATGTTCTTTCCACCTTCAGTGGTCAAAGTACCACCAAATCCAGGACAACGTGTTGCACCCCATTGTTGGTCCCTAAATCTTCCTTCGTCTACCATGGTCTTTTCTTTAGGATCCAGAACTGGAGAAGAGATTACGCCCATTGTTCTGAAGAAGGTCTTCCTTTGGAATTGGCCTGAGAGCTTCTTATTGTCATTTAACTTGCTCCACCATCCTCTGTAGCAGGAATGCCTAAGTCTCATGGGTTCAAATTGCATTTTTTTTTAAACCAGAACACACACATCAAAGGCATTGGCTCTACTGCAATATATCTGAAAACACTTCACTTGTTTGTTCCAAATGGGTGATGACCAAAATAGCCTCTGACCTAAGATGATGGCAGTTCGGTCTCTGCATGCACAATCCCTTCACCCCCTTGTGACTAGAAAGTGGTCTTTATGGCTCCGCTTTCCACTAAATGAATGTCGGTTACCCATCAACCACTTAGTTAATGGTCTTAACACTAATTAGTAACCCTTCCCTGAATCAGTAATTTAATTAAGGGGTTTTTAAATGATACTTTTCTACATCTATCATCAGAGTACAATGATTTTATTGACTCTTAACCTTTATTCCTTTCTCATTGCTCTCATAACTCAAAGTGCAGAATGGTCCAGGTTGAACACCACCATGAATTCCTGGACGTGGTGTGAAGGGCGCCATCTTGAGACCCAGCTTGTGGGTGGGCTTCTGATAAGAGAATTTTCCTCAGCTCTGTCGGTCCCCCTCTACAACAGTGACCATCCTTCATTTGGCTTATCCCTATTGCTTGCTTTTATTCACCTCATTCATACTTCCTTTTGATTTAAGCTGGTAATGATCTGAAGTCAGCTTCTGATGCCTAACTGGAGCTTATTGGTGCTCTCCAGCTTCAGTGGTTGCTTGCAGCTGGCCACATAGGAATACAGACACCACGAAAACCTGGAAACACTACAATTTAGTACTTTTTTTTTCTTTTTGAGGTCTATGTATTAAACATTTACCAGCATGCTATTGGTTTAAGCCACTGATATTCAAACCTGCTGAAAAGCCAGAATTGCCTGAAAACTTTCCCATAATACCAATTTCAAGCATACCAAATTAGAAACCCCGGCCTTGAAGCTCTGTAAGTCCGGGATTTGATAAGACTCTGCAGGTAACTGGGGGTTTGAAGCCAGGCAGTCATCTGTAAGCAGGAGGCTGCACACATGCCCAGACCCTGGGTTCCTCGGGGCGGCCAGGTTGGCATCTTCGCCCTGTGCTGTTTTGGAGGCAGCATGTCATGTCCAATCGAGGTGGCCAGTTATTAACACTGTGTCTCTTAACTGCTCACTGCCATTCACTACCCACCCTTTGTCAATGCCCACCGCCTTTACTGTGAGTCCTTTAACACATTCCAAGTCGTCCTATGCCTGGTGTCACCTAATACACGGGAAGGAGGCAGCGCTGCTCAGAAGCAGAGTCACCTCCTTGTGTTTACCTCTTTGCAACCTAAACACAGCCTGCCCCCTCTTGGGGCATGGTGGGGGCAGGGCCCCAGGGTTTTAGAAAAGCATGGGGGTCAGACCTAGAGAAAGCCCAAGGGCATCATCTCCCCACTTGCCCCTTTGCCAATGCTCTTGGAGCCTGGGTGGTTCTGAGGGCCCTGCCTTTGCATGTGGGGAGCTAAAATGGGCTTCAGGCTGCAGAGAGAGCCACCTATCAGCCTCCTCGGCCTGCTCCTCTCTGAGTTCAATCTAGCACAGACACAGGACAAGGAGAATGGTCTGACACCCTCCGCACGTCTGGGGGCTACGCAGCCCTGGTGACAATGTCACGCCCAGATGAGCATCGGTGGCTTCTGGTTCCAAGGCATCTGCAGGGCGTTAGGAGAATCCTGTGGCCTTGTCGAGGCGCTGGAGACGGCTCTTCCTCCCGAGCAGGTATCGATTGTGTATAGGTTGGGCCCCCCAGAGCCATTTGTCATTTCTGATGGAATATCGTGTTAGCGTTTAACGCTGTAATGGGCGAGGTGTCTGCGCTCGCCGCCGCGTCGCCGCCTTGATGAATGGCGGGACGGGCTTTGTTTCCGCAGCAGTGAGCAGTTGGCCGGCTATTGGCTTTACCTTTTATCCAAGAATAACTGTGTGAGGAGTTCTGGAAGCTAGCAGGAGCCTTTCGTCAGACGAGGTTCGCGGCGAGCCGGGTGGTCCCGGCAGAACAGCTGCGGGGCTTTAGCACCCGACAGCACGTCCGCGGCCGGGATCTGAGACGGCGCAGGCTCGGGGCAGCTCGTGGTCGGGAAGGGCTCAGCGCTGTTTTTTTAAGGTGAGAGGACAGGAAATGCTGATGGAAAAGAAAAAAAAAAGATGTGCTTTAGATAATCACTTGATTCAGACAGGCGTTTCTGGGTAAAAGAGAACAGTGGGGAAAGGAGGGGACCGTCCCCAGGGAAAGCAGGCAGCTGGGGGTGTGTGGCCCTCTGACGCGCATGCGCGTCCAGCGCCTGAAGGTGTGGCTCACGTGGCTCCAGCCACCCTTAGGCCACCGCCTCCTGCCAACGTGCCTCTCCCCACGGATCATGAGAGCCCTGGAAAACGCCACAGGAAGCAGACGAGGGACTCGGTTCCTACACCTGAAGGTGCTCCTGGGTGTGATTAGGACACTTGATGCATCAGAACAAGCGGTTTGTTAGGACAAAAGGCAGGAATTTTGTGCCCTCAGCTCCCTTCTCAAAATCCAGGCGACCCCGCCTCTGCCTGCCACCTCCCTGGGGCGGAGGCCAGGCACGCTGCACTGTGACCTCAGTGGCCGAAGCGCACTCTCACCCGCTCTAAAGCTGAACCTACTTTCACAGAAGCATCTCCGCTCCTAGCCTGAGCCCAAGTCAACCTATTTTCACAAAGTTCACCAAGTTTTCAGTGTTGAGTATGAAGGTTACACTTGTCCTGAGATAAGAGGGGTTGCCAAGAGACCTTGTTTTCTAAAGTTTGCCCTTCACATGGACTTCCCCAGGATAGGGAAGCCTTGTGGAGTCCACACTTCTCAATAGCATCTTTTCTAATTAATGAAATAGCATCTTTTCTAATTAATGCCAGGCAATGGGGAGGGCTTGCAGAGTGAGCCAAGGCTAGAGATAGAGGAATGTCTGCAAGCATCCTCAGGATTTGATGCTAATACATCAATGGAGGAGCTGGGCACCGTGGTGCACACCTGTAATCATAGCAGCCAGGGAGGCTGAGGCAGGAGGATTGCAAGTTCAAAGACAGCCTCAGCAAAAGCGAGGCACCTAGCAACTCAGTGAGACCTTGTCTCTAATTAAAATACAAAATAGGGCTGGGGATGTGGCTCAGTGGTTAAATGCCCCTGAGTTCAATCCCCAATACCAAAAAATAATAAATAAATAAATAAATAAAGGAATTAAGTGCAAATGGGTATATGATTAGCAACAGGTGTCCAGCCTATCATAACACTAACATATGAGCACATATTAATAAACATCCATACTCTTATGATGCAGCAGCTATATGAACTGGTTACTTACACTGATTAGCAAGGTCCCCACAAATATGTTAGTATTTTTAAACTGTATGCCTGCTGTATGACTGGCATTTCTGCACATTTGTGCATTTTATCATCATAATCTGTCCATAAGGAAATACAAAATTCCATTATCCCCGTTTTTTCAGATGACAAAGAGTAAGTTGGAAAGAGTTAACACTATTTCCTCAAAACCACAAGTTTTAGAAGTGGCAGATTCTCTTCTCAGGCCATTTGTTCTTTAAATAGGTCATATAAGGGTTCGCATGTCCTTTATTACACGTTTGGAATTATGACAAGGTATATAAACATAAAGATAAAATCACCCTTCCTTTATCATTAGCCTAAAATTAGTCTACAATCTGAGATCAGCACAATTCTAATATATGTGTATATATATGTATATATAGATATATATGTTCTCATCCTTTGTCACAAGATTCCCTGATCAAATACATTTAGACTTCAGAAGTCTTTTTTCACAAAACCAGAAAACCCAAATGACTGTGAGAATCAGATGGGTAATATGAATCAAATACAGATGGGCAACAGGGAGTGGTGTGGATTGCAGGTGGATTGCAGGGCACAGGTTAGAATCGAGAGGCTAGATGCTGCTCAGCACCAGCTCACTGGTCACACAGGAGTTTGCATGCAGTATCACCAGGTCATCTGAGCTTTCCTTTTGTTTGGCTTATTTTTTCAGAGAAAACATTCTGTAAAATCTTTCATGATAATAGTATGCCTTGTAGGGTGTTATAAGAATTCACTATGTTCTACTGATGAAATGCTCAGAGCAAATACGTACCCTGTGTTTGGAGCAATGCCTGGCCCGTGGGAAGCCCCTGTTCACTTCAGAGGCTATCACCACTACCACCATCACCTCCCACATTTAGAAGACGATTTCTACGTGGGAGGTGTTTTTGAGCTGCGTTCTCAGTGTGCAACCTGCAACACGTGCTTAGGAAGTATTTATAGAGTAAGTGAAGGGTAGATGGAAACTTTGAAAAGTATGACAGGAAGCACCTATCACTGCTTGGTTGATTCTCAAATGTCTCTCTTTGTGCCCATCTCTCTCTGTATGTCTGCATAGGTATGTGCCCCCCCCCATCAGATCCAGGGTGAGGATAGATTGCCAGGAAGGCTGGTACAACAGCTAAGCAGGTTGCTCAACCAGTCATATCCCTGAGAGCGCACATTTGAATAATAACACCCCACCTGAATGGCTCAGCGCCCCCCCCCATCAATGGCTCACACCAGCGGGGTTCAAAGGCAGGAAGTGGCAGCGAGGCAGGGGGACCACTCCGGTTCTCCTAATGATGCCAGTTGATGGTGCCTCTTGCTCCTGGGCAGAATGGAGAAGGGAGAAGAAAGCCCCAATAGGTGTGCAGAGGTGCCATTTTCAACAAAGAAATCCTGCCATTCCAAACTGTCGAGACCTTTAAAAATAAAAGATGTGCTGTATTTCCAGCACTGTTCAGTATTCATGAGGCCTCGCAGCTTGTTGTAAGGCAAGATGAAAACAATACTCAGTAGATTTTCATAAGTGACATGTAACTGTAAGATTGATAGATGATGCGGATTTAATGTATGTGAAGTTCAAAACCAACATGAAAGCTTCAAGGTAGCCGAACACTGGATTCCAAACCCACAATTCTTCCAGAGATAAACCCAGATTCTCCCCAGTTATGTGGCATCTGTGAAACAAAAAGTGGGCATCTCCCAGGCAAGGAAGCAGTTTCTCCTGAGCCTCCCAGGACAGTGCTGGAATGTTCTCATTGCTGTTTCCTTGCTATTTCTCTCCCTTCAAGTGAGTGAGATGAATCATGAATGGTTAAATATTCCCACTTACTTCTGCTAACCTAGCCGGTTTGTTGGTGTGATCTGACCAAGGAATATGGTCAGCCATCCTGGTGGCTCAGGGGACACAGATTAGGTGCATCAAAAGAGTCCCCTAAAATATCCTTGCTTTACTATCCACAGCTTGTTGGCCATTCCAGGTTTGTTTTTTATTATATGCACACACAAACAGACACATCAATGACAAGTTTGTAGACATAATTATGTCATTGTAAATCCTATATAAGCTACTATGAATTGCTTTGTATGTGTAATGTGTATTAGTTGTGCAATTAATCATTTATGTATATTACCCGCAATTCCACAATGCACAGCAAATACAGGGCTTTCCGGGTTTTCATGGTCAGTCTCAACTGAGCAACATCTGCTTTCATTCCGTTCCCAAGAATGTCCATGAGTGGCGGGCCATGAAGAGAGGCCACACATCTTTATTTTGAACCCTTTCCTTCCGTCTTCTTATTTGCTGCCTGACACTGACAGGATATGAGGTCCTGTCAAGTACTGACCAGAAAGTGCTGCAGGAGGTCTGATGTGGGCACACGTTGAAGATAAATACACGCACACACACCAGCAGGCACGCACGCACACATCCGGGGGCTCGTGGCTGAGCTGATGAGTTTTCCATTTTTCTTTTTACTTTCCATATTGTTGTGAGTGCATTCTAGTTGTAGATAATGGGATTTACGGTTACATATTCATACAGTCTCATGATATAAAAACGGTATTAATTTGGCCAGCAGCATTTCCCAGTATCCCTTTTTTCTTTTCATTTGTTCTTTCTTTTCCCTTTTGTGAGGGGAGGAGTCTTGGGGTTTTTTTTATTTTTATATTTGGCTCCATCCTGAAAAACTCAAATGGATAGGGTTAGAAATTTTTTTTTATTTTGTGCCATTCTCAAAATCAAAATATCACAACAGCGGCCACCATTTTCTAACAGCCAGCACTTAAAATAATTTACATCCAAAGCATACCTTCGAGAAGATACTATGATTAACCTAATTTTATGAATGGGGTAACTGAGGCTCAGAGTGGTTCATCAATTCACACAAAGTCACATAGCCAATAAGTGGTGAGAAGCTGTTCTTCCCAGTATCTGCTAGAGAAGAGTCAGCAAGATGCAAGTGTCAGAGCAATGTTATGGACAATTTCACCATCGATGTTCTTCTGGTTAGAAGGCTGTTTGGGCATCTCAGACAAGGAGGCTTCCAAAGGACAGGGATGTCTTTTTTGGTACCGATGTTGTCAGTTCCTAGCACAGGGCCTGGTGCAGAGCAAGTACTTGGCAAAAGTAGAATAGGGGAGAAAGGGTAGGAGGCGAGTTCCTGGTGGGTGTTGGGAGCTGGGATATGAACGCAGTCTTTCTGATTTTAGTGTGAGCGTGAGAACCAGGATGAGATGAACACACAGGAGCAACCTGATCGTGGAGTGGCTGCCAAAGTCGGGGCCAGGGCAGAATGTAGTGGCCAGGATAGAGGGGCTCTCCCAGGCTCGTGTCCTGATGGAAGATGAGGGCAGAAGAGTGCATCCAGAGGAAAGCTGGACCTTC